AATGGGAGGGGGAGTTGAAATGGTTCGCGACTGGGAGGTGCAGCTGTGTAGTGCGAACTGAGCGTAGGTGTTCTGCAAAGTGGTCCCCAAGCCTCCGCTTGGTTTCCCCGATGTAGAGGAGGCCACAACGGAGACAGCGGATACAGTATACCACATTAGCAGATGTGCAGGTGAACATCTGCTTGATGTGGAAAGTCTTCTTGGGCCCTGGGATGGGGGTGAGGGAGGAGGTGTAGGGGCAGGTATAGCACTTCCTGCGGTTGCAGGGAAAAGTGCCGGGTGTGGTGAGGCTGGAGGGGAGTGTGGAGCGCACAAGGGAGTCCCGGACAGAGTGGTCCCTCCGGAAAGCAGATAAGGGTGGGGAGGGAAAAATGCCTGTTGTGCTGTCAAGTTACTTGCTTTCAAAAATGTAGCCACTTTTTCAAACACCTTTTAAAAACATTTTCTCATTTCCGTACACCGTTTTTAAAAACAAAAATAAAAAAAGACATAGACTTTACAAGTCTGTCTTCCTCAATTATAGATTTTTTTGCTAAGCTCAAGAAAAGTTTCAGAAGTCTCTAATAAGTTTTCATTCTACATTTGGCGCAACTATCTCACAGTACATTCTAACACAGCCATACTCACTGAATTATAGCTGTCAGCCAATGTCCCAGACTCCTTCCTCATAATCCTTAGTTATGTTCTGTTCAGTGTCGGGATAGACCCACAGCATGTTGTATACAGTTATGAAGAAGTGGAATTGGGACTGTACAGCATTGACTTCAGAGCCCCTGAAATTACATGGCAACAGGTTGGATATGGAAACCTACTGCTGATTATCATTTACTGCTCTTCCTTGCAAAGGTCTAGTGGTATTATTGCTAGACTGTTGATTCAGAGACACGGAATGTTTTGGGGACCTGGATTCGAATCCAGCTGTGGCAGATGTAGAATCTGAATTCAACAAAATCTGGAACTAAGAATCCAATTTTTGATTGTCAGAAAAACCCATCTGGTTCACTGATGTCTAATGCTGTGGTATGACCTACACAAGTCTCTCCAGACCCACAAAAATGTGGTTGATTGCTAACTGCCTCTGGGCAATTAAGGTTGGACCATAAATGCTGGACCGTAAATGCTGGCCTAGCCAGCAACATCCACATCCAATGAATAAAAAAAAGTTGAACACTACTTGGAATCTGCACCAAGTAATAACGAACACACAACAGATTCTGGGTGGGAGGGGATTCAAATATCTCTCAACAAAAGGGGCCTGTTACCATCATTAGTAACAGAGCATGCTGAGTCCTGAAATACCTATGGGTCAGACGGGGACTACAACACGAGAAATTGACCTACTTGTTCGCTTCATCACCTCATATATTTATCCATGATGTTATTTTAAAAATATTTGTTCATTGGATGTGGGTATCACTGGCTATGCCAGCATTATTGTTCATCCCTTTTATAGCCTAGACGGCAGTAAAGAGTTGACCATATTGCCCTGAGTTTGGAATCACATTGTAGGCCAGACCAGGTAAGGATGGCAGATTTCCTTCCCTGAAGTACATTAACAAATCAGTTGGGATATTATAATTGATAATAAAGGTTACATGGTCATAAAAAATCCATCTGATTCACTAATGTCATGTGATCAGAGTTTTCAGGAGGGGTAGTTATCCATACAGATATGTACAGTCTAAAACTTCGGTTCATAATTTTTGCTTGAGTAAATTTCGTTTGTTATTATTTTTAACTAAATAGATTTTGATATCTATATAACTGACAAAATCATTGTCCTCTTTAAATTCAAACTTTGTTATGAACAGTGGAGAAATGAGACTTGCAAAGAAAGTCAGTTCACTCCTCCAACCTTGGTCATAACAATAGGTTCATGTGTGACTTTTCTGAGTTTGTGGTTAAAGCAATTTGTTAGGTAAACTAAAACAGGGTTATTTCACCTCTGACAGTGACACATCTCTGAGAGTGCCTTTATAAGCACAAAGATTCACAGAAAATTGAAATAACTATAATGTTATTCAAAAACATTTTTTTTTCTCCTCATTTTATCCCACAGCAGCTACGAGCTAACATGAGAGAAATGGAAACGTTATGCCTTCGGGTAAGAGATGAAGATTCACAAGCTTTAGAGAAAATAATAAATCCTGTACAGGAGCATGCAGCAGCAGCTGTGCTGGAGTTCCTGAAACTCCATTCAGAGATTCTAGAGGAATCAAGCGGACACTGTAGCATGAATAATACACAGAGACCACAGTCATCTCTAGTGAGGTCCCAGACTGTCGAAGGTAATATATTTGGTTTAGTTATGCATAATAATAACCGATGACTCTCTCATCTCTTTAACTGGGACTGATGGTTTACTACTTATTCAAGCAACAATGTGGTTTCAATGAGGATTATACTTGTGGTATAATTTCGTTCCTATTATATTTCTGATGAATGAGTACTTTTACTTACATTTGGTATGTGTGCACTTTATCTTCCTTTAAGGTTTTAGCAAAGATCTGTAGCTCGGGTTGCGGGTGAGGTTGCTGACTTGCTTGCCGAGCTGGCTTGTTTTTGTTCAGGCATTTTGTCACCGTGCTAGGTAACATCATCAGTGACGCCTCTGATGAAGCTGATTTGTGTCATTTTTGGTTTTATTCTGTATGGGTTAGTGTATAGGGTCCAATTTTATGTTTGTTGATTGCATTATGGGTGGAGAACCATGCCTCTAGGAATTCCCGTGTGTGTCTATTTTTGGCTTGGGCTATTATGGTTACCTTGTCCCAGTTAAACTGATGGCCTTCACTGTCTTGAGTGTACTGATATTAGGGAAAGTTTGTCATGCCGTTTTGCTGCTAGTTGATGTTAGCATATCCTAATGGCTAGTTTCCTTCCTGTCTGTCTGATGTAATGTTTGTTGCAGTCGTTGCATGGTATTTTGTAAACTATGTTGCTTCTGCATGTTGTGGGAATGGGGTCGTTAATCCTTGTAAGTGTTTGTGATAGAGTGGCTGTGGGTTTGTGTGCCACCATGATTCCTAGTGGTCATAAGAGTCTCGTTGTCAGTTCTGATATGTTTTTGATGTCGGGCAGTGTGGCCAGTGCGTTAGGGTGTACTGTGTCCTCTTGTCTATTTAGCAGGCACCTGTGGATGAAGTTGCGGGAATATCCGTTCAAAGAAAAGATTTTGTACAGGTGCTCTTCCTCTTTCCTGCGTAGTTCTGGCATGTTGCAGTGAGTGGTGGCCTGTTTAAATAGTATCCTAATACAGCTTTGTGGACGTTGGGGTGGTTGCTGTGAAAGTTGAGGATTTGGTCAATATTCCTTCTGATATTGGATGCTCTTAGAATCTTTTTTGTATGTAATTTGTCCAGTTGTTGTCTTCCCCCTTTATGGGTAGAAATGGAAGACTCTACTACCCATAGACTTAACGCCATTAAAGTCAGTGTGGTGACTGGCTTGAAGGGGAAATTGCAGTTGTCATTTGCCATAGTATCTGCTGGTCTTGCTCTTTAAGGTGGCCTTACCCCTTATTGAGTGGCCCTGATAGAACCCTAACAGAGCATCATTGAGCAGGTTATTACAGAATTGTTGTGGTGCAGAAAGAGACTGTTCAGCCCAATATATTTGCATTGATTCTGAGGATTTTATTTTGTTGCCAATCCTCTGCTAAGGGAGGTAAGAGGAAAGAGGATTGGGAAATCCAAAACAATGGAATTGTTGGCAGTCTATTGCCTCCCAATAGGAACATAAAATTCATCTCCTGAAAGAAAAGCTTGTAAACATAAATCACAACCAGAATTTCTGACACATTTTATTGGAGAAATAACTAATATTTAAAGTAGAAGTTTTATTTAGCACAGTAAAATGGTTATCCTATCATAAGATTTAAGTATTTAGAAAATATTCCCAGGCAGCCATGAAAGCCTGGTTGTAATGGTGCGTTATTTCTGTTTAGAGGAAGCATTATACTTGGGGGGGGGGGGGGGGAGGGGGGGGAAAAAAATAATCAGGATCATCTTGCATCAACAACCAGCTTCGTAATGATTTCATCACGATTTAGTTTCATATCTACTGATATGAAAAGGCACCTACTGAGCCTTTCGCGAATCTTGCAGAAGGGAGAAGATATAAATTACTGAATTTCTGTTATTTGAGGAACTCTTACTGTTTTAGTGAAGTTAACAAGAATACCAGATGTGACTTTACATTTGTAAATGAACATCAGTTATCATTTTTGGTTGACAGACCTGCCCTCATCTAAATTATCGTTAAATTAAACCCTTACAAATTTATGTATGAATTACAGGATTCTGAGCAAACAACATGACCTTATTCTGAAATAAAACTGTCAGGAAGAGTGACATTTTTGTCCCTTTCCAGAAATTACCTGCAAAATGAGATGATGAAACCAATTAAATATCTAAGATTTTTAAGACTATGCAATTGGACATTGCACTGAATAACCATTTTTCCTGTAGGAACAATTATGAGTTCCCAAGACACTGGCTCACCATCGTCCCAATGTCTGGTTCAGCTGAATGTGCCACTACCACAGATTCCACAAGATCAAGATGCTGCTGAATCATGGGAGAAGTTGGAAGAAGTAAGTCATAGTCTTTTGAAATTAACAGTGAAATAATAACTAGAGATGATATATCTTTGCAACACAAATCAGAATTGGTTTTAATATAATCTTATTTGATGTCATCTAGGTTTAGGCTCTAATTTTTTAAGTAATTCAAAGTACATGTAGCATATTATATAGTACATGTACTCTGATTAAATAAATGGTAAGGGTGTTTAATTCACTTTATTCTGTTAAATTACATAGACTAGTAGTAAGGTTTACTGCAGGCACTTCTAGACAGTCATGTTTAATGATTTTTTTCTGGGATACATTTGAGTAGCTTGTAATGTTCATTTACATAATTATTTTTCAGGATTTAATTGATCTTAGCAACTTGGTAAATGAATTTTCTCAGTTACTTCATGTAAGTATTTATCTTCCAATTTCCTGTGTACTGAATGAAGGAAAATCTATTTCTTTAGTTCATGTCATATGTTTTGGATCTGCAAGAATAATTTGTGGCTAAATAGAGCAAATTAAATTTCTATGAATTAAAAAGGATATTCTAACACATAAGCAACACCATTGGTTCTGGAAATATTACACTTTACACCAGTTATAATAACTCTGGTATCAAATTAAACATGACTGCACATCCATGGACTTAATAACAACAGCAGGACCACAGCCAGCCTTTGTGAGCTGTGCAATCGCAACCACTCCAGACGTGTATCTCTAATTGCTACTCTCAAACAATTTTTATGTTATAATTTCCTCTCTTACTTCTGTATTTTCTTCCACTATTTGCCCAATGGTAACTCTACCTCTTCTGCTTTTAATTTATCTATTACATCCTCTTCTCCTGCCTGCAAAAGGTAATTATTACCTTTACAATCAGTGAATGAATTATATCAAGCTTGGAAACTCCAAAACTGGTTTATTTTGGCTGATCTGTATTCATCCACATTTTACAATGTTTTGATAGTCAAAATGTTGCAGTTACTTAGATCAAATTTCCAAATTTAGAAAATAAGGACCTAGAAAATCTGAAATCCATGATTGTTCTCTTTTGAATCAGAAATGTAACATTAAATCCACAATGGTGCTAAGCAATGTAAGATGTGACCATATTGCAAAATTCTTAATTAAAAAAGGGAATGTATTGTATGGACACAGACAGCAACAGTCCATTATTGCAGAATGACGAAATAATGGGTTTTAATGTTATATAGTTTTTTGGGAAAAAAAGACATTTATGCATTGCACAAGGCTATTGATACTGTTTAGACTAAATAGATTTTTAAATGGCCAACAGAATTAATGCAGCAACATTGTTGTTCTGGTAATTAACTAGCAAGGTGTCTCTTCTTATCCCTTCTGTGGCCCTCTGCCATTAGATTTCCAGGTGAAGGTCACAGTGACCAATGGGATCCCGTCATGTATGGAAGATGCTGCCTTTGGCATGCATCACCCCACCTCCAAAATCTTGGCAGAAACCCAGGACGCCAGTGAGTCTGCTTGCTATGTTCTCATGCGCAAACCAGCCTTATGTTCCAGGACCAGTCTGGGCTTTACCTTGCCTGCCTTTGTCCTGTATAGATGTTTTGTGTTTGACCTGTCCTAAAAGATGCTGTTGAAAGGATACCCATTCTGGTTTTGGGGCCCAGTTGTCTGGCCACAGTAATACAGGTAGTCCGTCAAAAATGCTTCATTCCAGGAGAGTATGTTTCTGGATGTTTTACAACACACAGCCGGAACCAGCACGTCCCAGACCATATAAATTTGAACCGGCACAAGACAACAGCACTTCACAGGAGGCTCCACAGCACTGAGGATATCACCTAATAAGGGGACAAAACGTCTGCTATCAAACCCCCGAGCTTGGTGAACACACCAATATCTACAACTAGCACTCGAGCTATAAATCTTCACTCAAACCCTGAAGAGTATATTTTTCCTGTATTATCGGCTTTCTCCAAAACATATCCCAAACGCCAGGATGAATGATCCTATCAATGCTCATATGAACAGATACAATTGATGTTGCTGCTTTTTTTTCCAAAGTCCACATCACTTGTGATGGAAGCAGAGGCATTTATTAAAGGAAGATTAGTGACATACTACTGAATGACACATTCAAGTAATACAATTGTGCATAACAGCACCCTCAAAAGGAGCAGGAGGTGGACTTGATGTAAAAATTATATTTGACAGAAAAGGGCATAATCTACTGCATCATCTCTAACCAGACACCTCCCTCCCTCACATGCACGATAAGTAATGTTATTTTGTTGAGGCCATCATTGCTGAGCCTAAATCTCTTTACAGCCAGTCCTGTCTACCTTTCAGCATAAATCAGAGCAGATGCTAGAAATCTTATTTTGTAAAAACTTAAAATAAAATACTTGTAGTTTTCCACAACTCATGGCTATGGCTTTTGTGATCAGTGGCAAATGGTGGTGGTGCCGCCGCCTGCCTGGGGACATGTATCAATTTCTGACATGAATTCTAACTTTCCTAGTTAGTTTTGCTGTATTAGCCATGGGAAATACCTAGCCTCGCCCATTGCCTGAGGTGTGGTAACGCTCAGGTTAAACCACCACCAGTTAGTTGTCTTTGTTTGATGAGAGAACAGTCCTATGGGACTATGGCAACTACTTATTTTTAGTGTAATCAAGCAGGTTATGCAGCTAATCAGATATTCTCACCCGTAAGCAAACCAGGAAGTAAAAAACATTGACTGCTCTTCACTCAGTCATTTTACTGTGAAACAAAAAGATTGGAACATAATAACAGTATTCAAGTAGAAGCTAAAGTATCAGGTTTTTTGAGTAACTGTTCACTAGTAATTAATGGATACACCTTTAATCCAAGGGGGTTCACAGCAAAATTGAGCATACAAAGTGCAAACACAAATTGACAAAGCCCAGATTGCTGTCTATTTTTTTCTGGGATCTTCTGATTCTAGCTATCACAAAAAAGGACAGTGGAGCAGAATAAAGGAAAGACAACACATGCCCTTTTATATAGTGCAAGCTACCATATTTAAACATCTACTCTTTGAATGTTAGTGAATGGGTGATATGGTTAAGTGGCAAATTAGTTGTGAGGTTACCCAGATGTTATTCAGGGAAGTATGCTGAGTCTGAGCCATTTGCATGGAATCCTGGGAATTGCCCCTCCAATCTGCATGTCAGGATTTCCACAGGGTCCTGACACAATCTTCAGTTGTATTTCTGGTCACCAAAGAATCAGCAACTGGCTGGAAGATTTAACTTCTAACATTTCTATCTGCAAGCACAATGGTAACCCACCCTCTGGAGGAAAGGTTTGATTTAATCTTTGCATTACTGCATTTAACTACGCAATGTCTGAGTTTTATGTTGGCTAGAGACAAGATTAATGTGTCTTGTAAAACTGCTGATTTCATGAATTAAAGTCTAATACATTTAGAAATTACTTTAAGGGATTACTTGAGCAACTAAAATTCGTCTACCTCCTATCTATTTTGTTTCAAAAGATTAGAACGGTGCTGCAACTGTGTAATATATAAACTAAATGTAAATAAAATGCATGTTCTGGCTTTTTGAACCAATCATTACACACTTGATATGGTAGGGAGTGTTAAACTTAAAAGACCACACAATGCTAGATCCAGGCTTTGCCAAAATGTTTGAACAAATTTTCACATGCACTGGAAAAACTAAATTATTGAAATGTATTTTGTAAGTGATATTTTTTTCCTTCTAAAAAGTCTTTCGTTCTGCGGGTGTAAAGGAGGCACAGCTGAAATAAGGAACTCCAAGTATGACCCTGTGACAGAAGTTGATTAGATTGTAGCCATCAGGATGTTAAATATGAAGGTCTTTTTTCAAACCAAAAAAGTGTAAAGAACTGCTGCCCTCTAATGGGTTAAAATAGCACTAATCTGAGATCATTTAAGAACAGATTTAATGTTGATAAATTTTTAAAGACTTGGCAAACCATCTAAACAGTCTAGCAGGAAAGGTGGTACTTTTAAGAAATTGTAGATTTATTGACTAGCAGATGAAAGATGTTGCAAACTCTGATTATAGGAATTATAATTGTGCGTATTGGTTGACTGCTGCTTCCCAGCTGGAAAGCTAGCACATAATTCCTTTACATCTAGACCCAACAGGAGAAGATTGACAGCATTGAAGACCATGTCAGTACTGCTGCTGAGAATGTTGAAGAGGGAACCAAGAATCTGGCCAAGGTAGGGATCTTTGCCTGCTGAGTAATCAATGGCACTCTACCTGCCAGCAATACTCTGAATTAACCCAACTGATTGATCTGGCCTCTCTAATGTTAAGGGAAGCAGCAATTAAAAAAATAAGGGAGAAGTGACACACTGCATGGCAAAAAAAAAAAAATCAATCTGTATTGTGATGGTCCCATGCAGTGAAACCAACTAGCACTGCTCTGTACATAGTAATCATCCAGAGAACAGCTGCAGTAAAGAAAGACTTTACACTGATGGATTGGTACCAGCTCTTAAGACAGCAAGAAATCACAGTAACTTACAATCTAGTTTGTGTCTTTGTTAAACCTATTTTTCATTGATTTTTCAGGCCGCTAAATATAAACTTGCAATGTTGCCGGTGGCAGGTGCTCTCATTGGTGGTGCGATGGGAGGGCCTATTGGTCTTCTGGCAGGCTTCAAAATTGTGGGGGTCGCAGCTGCAGTCAGTGGAGGGATACTGGGCTTCACAGGTGGGAGGCTGTTACTGAAGAAACAGCAGCAGACGATAGACCAGGAACTCTCACTTTCTTCCAGCTGCCCAGAGCTGAAGACTCAAGCTGGAAAAAAATCTAGTTAAATTGCGCAAACTTAGCTCTTTTAAGCCTTTTTCCAAGGTTTAGCTTAAAAGAGAAACAATTTTATATACAATTTGTAAACTGTAGGACTTGTCTCCACCAGAATCTAATCTGATTATTCATTTTTAATGACAGAAGATCAGCTGTATATACTGATAACAAATGTACAATCATTAAATGTTAATTTTTGTATATTTTAACTGCTTTATTAAAATATTTATCATTTAAAAACTATTTGGAATGCAAATTGTATGATCATAGCTTGAACAAAATCTATTCACCAATCTTGGTAGGCCACTTATTTTATTTTTGTTTCCTCAAAATTAAGAGATCAACACATTCTCACAGGAATGTGAAACATGAACACCAAGCCACTCCCACACAGCAAGGAACAAATGAACACCTTCCACTTAAAGAAAAATGCATCGACAAAATGTGGAAATAATACGAAGAGACGAGGCTTGTTTCATGGGACAGTATGCGGCCAGCATACTCTTGCCAAATCCTGGTACAAGAGATGACCTTTTATTAGAAAAATTTAGGATCTGCAAATGATCAGTGTTTTGCAACAGTTATACATTTAACAGTTTTATTAAAATCCACTACACTGAATGACCACAGTACATTGACATATTCACAAGCCAGGGAAGCAAAAAAAAAAATAAAAAAAAACACAATTTGTCAATCAATTTTTTGTTTTATCCAAAATAAAAACTGTACACACAGACTTATGAAAATATAGGCTTAGTATTTCTGCCTCTCATCAGGCAAAGCTCTTTGATTTCTGGTCTTGTACAGTTCCTTCATACATCTATAATTCATCTTTCTCTCTCTTGAGGATGGTGTACCTGTGTTCACTTGGAGCTAATTTCTGGAATGAACTTTCTGGGGGGCTGCTTGCAACTTCACTTGGCTAGGATTTAAAAAAAGTATGAATTTGTGAATAGAAATAAAGTAGCAACTTCAAGAAGTTTGACAATTTTAAGAAAGTAATGTATTTATCTGGTCTCTTGATTTCCACAGCCACAGTAAATCTGAATTTATAGAACTTAGAACAGTACAGGCCCTTTGGCCCACGATGTTGTGCTGAACTTTTACCCTAAACCTAAGGTCTATCTAACATCCACATGCCTATCTAATTGCCACTTAAATGCCCCTAATGAGGGGGACTCCACTACCCTCTCCGGCAATGCATTCCACGCCCCTACCACTCTCTGAGTAAAGAACCTACCTCTGACGTCTCCCTGTATCTACCTCCACTCACTTTAAAACTATGCCCTCTCGTAATAGCTACCTCCACCATGGGAAAAAGCCTCTGGCTGTCCATTCTATCTATACCTCTGATCATTTTGTACACCTCTATCAAGTCACCTCTCATCCTTTGTCGTTCTAAAGAGAAAAGCCCTAGCTCTCTCAACCTTTCCTCGTAAGACCTTCCCTCCATTCCAGGCAATATCCTGGTAAATCTCCTCTGCACTTTTTCCAACACTTCCACATTTTTCCTGTAATGAGGCAACCAGAACTGGACACAATACTCCAGATGTATGGCAGTTTTAAAACTTACATTTTCCTATTACTGTACTTTGATTCCATTACTTACATAGGTATATAACAAAATATGGTACAGGCCAATAGATATAGCATTCCTTTCCTTTGAGGTTCATTGAAATGGTTAAAACTATATCCAAGTATTTCTCAGTATTATTAATTTATATCTCTGCCTTGCAGGTGCTGACAGGCTAATTGTATTTTTTTTTAACCAATATTAACTGTCAAAACTCAAAGCACTTTCAGTGACATTCCATATGGGAAACTCCTGAAACATTTAAGGTGTGATGAGGTGTTTTATAAAAAGGAAACCTTTAAATGTCAATTGATGGCATGATTAATTTGTACAGTATTTTCAGCACACAGGCCATCTGTCCTAAGAAGCCCCAACTATTTAATCTGTTTGATTTGCTGGTAATCAACTTTGAATATAATCATTAACACAACGTGATTTGAAATTATTAGTTTAATTGCTCATTAAGGGCACCACTATGCATTGCACAGCATTAGCTATACTGACCACCATTAAAACAAAAATAAAATTAAATAGGAAATCAAAGCTGAATGAAACCATCCAAGAAACCAGTGCAGATTATAAAACTGTGCACATGGATTTTTAAATTTAAATGTCTACAATGCATTTAATACAAATCCAGACTTGACTTTATCTAGATTTATGGTATTATATCGCTTAACACAGAATTGAGATTCCTATATCGTGATTATTTCCATCATTCATTATGCATTACATCATAAATTACAAATACCATGAGACTAAAACTGCAATTAAATAAATGTCTAGGCAGGGATCTTAAACATTTTAGCATACAGTATAAACTGTACCATACAGACCAGATATCATGAAATAAGTAATGGTTAGAGGGGTTAGACCTCAGACGTTTGAAAAAAGATTATGATTGAGATTAAATATTTATAACACACTTCACGATAACTGTTATTTTCAATCACGAACCCACCAAGGGCATCATCAAAATTCTCAACATCAGTTTCTTACCTGGCCAGGAGCATCATCAGTGGGATCTGGGCCATGGTGGAACTCTCTATGTAATTTGCCAGAGTGTAGATCTAATACAAATTGTTTCAGTGCACCTGGAGTACTGAAATTAAAATAAAACAGTCAACTAGCTGAGCAAAATAGAGAGAGCATGAAACAGGAAATAAAAACAAGCCACTTAAAAAGTCAATCCCAATTGATTCTTCTTTTAGTTAGTCAGAGGCTATTTAATTGAAAGGAGGCAGAAGACGAATTGCCAGTTTATACTCTGTTGGATTCTGGGATTTTTCTATCCCCTTAGGGCATTACAGCAACGGCAGCCTATTGCTGCCCCTCAATAACTCCCACAGTGCATAGCCCTGCAACAGCTTTTCTGTATAGCAGCTGAAAAGCAGCCAACAGCAGGTATCAAACAAAGAGTTTACAAATACAAGCAACAGTCAGGTAGTTGGTATTGATAGACAGCTTTCAAAAGGAGCTCTAGAGCAAAGTAATTGCAGACAGAAATGCTGAGGAAAGATCAATTTAAATTTAATCTTAGATCATCTGTTGTCACCTACTGTAAAGTGCTAAAATGCAGCAATCAATTTTATCTATAAAATGTCAAATTTGCTGCAATCATGGGGACTATTGTTAGTTAGTCTCAATAGCTCTGAAGAATGTATTGCATCTTATAGACTGGATCCCCTAGAAAACTACAAATAATAATTTATATACATGCTAAACATTGGCTCAAATTGTAGGGTTTTTTTTTAAAAATAAGCATCTTGCTGTAGTTATTTCTTTAAAATATAAGCTCAACAGCACGTAAGCAAGTCATACTAAGAAATTGTTCAGCCAATGCATACTAAAAAATACTTTTATATTTATTTGTTCTGATTCATGGTTCTGAAAAGCAGCTGCTAGTGGTACAGATATGTGTCACAAGTATCCCTTGTGCTAAAAATTTGGGAAGTTTTATTTCATGAAGGTAATAGCTACATGCAGATGGACCTACAGGTATGGATAAATTTTATACCAATCATTAAGACAAAGGTCAAAGAACAATAAACAAATCCACTCCCCAATAGAAGTCCGGTATGGAGATTTGGATTAAGAAATGTTCCCTAATCCAATCAATGCTTTACCTGGAATCTTCCTTCTCCTTTGTAACTCAAACATTTATTTCATTTTGTTAAAGGAAGCATTAGAATACAATTTGGGTAGACATTGCTAATAGTTTGGACAGAAGACATTTGTTGATCAGTAGCTCACAAATATTCACTATTCTTATTCCACTGCATGTTTAATAGATGAGGTATAGATTCTACTTAAGACTATCAAATGTAGCACATCCATTTAAAAAATAAAACTGAATCAAGTATTGACTTGCACTCAAGCTTTGTTTCAAATAATATATTTTGCATATGGGGAAATTCCACCCTACAGTTTTAAGTACAAATGGATGCAGACAGTGTCTTGTTTCCCCACACCAGTGAAACCTCAAGTCTGTAGATATATGTCTCATGTCAAAATATCCTTTACCTTTTTTAAGTTTAAAAAGTGACAAGGTACTTTGGTGGAAACAGGAAATTTGATAAATTTTGCAAAGTTTGCTAACCTAACATATAAAAAGGTGGGTTATGGTCATCTACAAAGTTAGGGCAATTAATTTGGAGTATCACCACAGAAATTACTGGTGTGTTTTACAGTGGTGTCATCACAGATTTCAAAATGCAGAAGGAAATATCACAGTAGAAAATGCAGCGAATTTGCAGATTAGAGCATGAATACTTCAGAAACTCAAGACACAACCACCAGATGATTTATTATCTTTAATAGTTTGTATTTGGAGATTATTAAAGAAAGAAAAAAACTGTACTTACTGTATGTCTTTAAAGTTTGGGAAGAGATACATATGCCGAAAGCTGTCAATAGCGATAACTGGGCAATCTGCTGGTGTCTTGTGTATATGTAGAAGAGGATGACGGAACTTGTCACAGTCAGCATGCAGGAAGTTTATAGTACCTATAAGTTATTCATGTGTTAACACTGTCACACAAATGCATGAGTTCGTTGACCTGAATGCAGTATAACAACAGATTGACATTGTATTTACATAAAAATTAGAAAGAACGTTACTTCTTTCCTCATGAATTCCTCCCAAAAGGAATTTTCAACCATTTAAGAAAAATTTTGTATTAATATAGTCGCAGCTTTCAAATCAACAGTTGGACTGTTTTCTAGACAAATGTTATACGTAAATAGAGACACACAAAGTAATTACTACCTATTTATGTTTATATAAGCCTCCTTGCCAGTTTGCACTTATACACAGGAACCAAAACAAAGTTGCTGGAAAAGCTCAGCAGGTCTGGCAGCATCTGTGA